TACCAAAGGCACAGGTGCCATATGTAAGAAATAATAGGCACTGAAATAAAAAATAGACAACTCGGACTCCATGAAAATTGAAACATTTTGTGGATCAAAAGCTGCTATCAAGAGAGTAAAAAGACAACCCATGGCATGTGAGGAGATATTTACAAGTCACACACAGTGTGAGATTAATAGCAAGAGCATAGAGTGAGCCCCTAAAACTCACCAAAAGCAAGCCACCTGATTCAAAAATGGGCAAAAGACTTGAACAGACATTTCTCCAAAATGTATATGTAAGTAGACAATAAACGGATTAAAAGATGCTCAGTATCACCAACAATTATGGAAGTGGAAATTAGAACTACGGTGAGATGCCATCTCGCATTCGATAGGATGGCTACTATAAAAAAGCAAGAGTTGCTAAGAATACGGAGAAACTGGAGCCCTCGGCGCTATGGCAGAACTGTTAAGGTTGTGCAGCTGCTGTGGAAAACAGTGTGGGAGTGGCTTGAGTAATTTTCATCCAGTCCAGGGTTTTTACTTCTGGACATGTATCAAGTAGAGCTGGGAGCAGGATGTCAAAGAGATTTACACATGCACATCCAGAACAGCGTTATTCACAGCCAGGCCTAGTGGTGCGTTATTCACATCCCAGCACTTCGGATGCTGAGGCAGGAGGATCTCCATAAGCTCAAGGGCACCTTGGGCTACATAGTTCAAGGCCAACCTGGGCTACATAGTGAGTTCAAGGCCAGCCTGAGCTATATAGCAAGACCCTGTCTCAAATGAAAAAAATAATAAATGATATAACATAACATAACAAACAGTGTTACTTATAATAGCTAACCTGTGGAAGCAACCCAAGTGTCCACGAATGAATGCATGCATGGATAAAACAAAATGTGATGTATGGAATATTACTCAGCCTTAAAAAGGAAAGAAATTCTGGTGTATCCTAAAACATTGATGAACTTTGCAGATGTTATGCTAAATGTCATGCTAAGTGATATTAGCTAGTCACAAAGTCAAATACTACCTGATTCCACTTCTATGAGGCACGCAGAGTACTCAGAATCATAAAGACAGAAAGCCGAATGGTGCTTTTTGGAGCTTGGAGAAGGGGCAAGTGCAGAGTTCTTATTTACTGGGTTTCAGTTTCACAGGATGAAGCAGATGGTGGGTGCGGTTGCACAACTTTATGAATGCACTTAATACCCCTGAAGTATATGTTAAAGTGATTAAGATGGTACGCTTTATGTGACATGTGTCTTACCACAATAAAGAGAAAAAATTGGGAAGGAAAAAGCATGGGAATTAGAGCGCGTGGTATAGGGAGACAGGGACTCCAGAAAGGGCCATGTCTGAGGGTGGACTTACACTCACAGCTAGTGCTGTGGAACACGGGAGGAGAGAAAGACACTTTCCGAGGACAATAGCCTGTGCATTTTGAGAAGAGTCACACGTTGCCCAGTCTCCTGCCTCACACAGTTAATTCTAGGTGGCTCAGAAACCTAAATTTGAAAGGCAAAACAATAGAACTTTCAGGATATATTATAGGAGAATATATTCATGACCTCAGGGTAGGAAAAGAATTCTTAAACAGGATATAAACAGTCTTTCCAAGATGGAAAAAGAGTGATAAATTGAATTATATTCAAATGAAGACCTTCTGTTTTTCAAAGACACAATAAAGAAACATGAAAGGCAAGCCACAGAGTGGGAGAAAAGACTTGCCAGGGACGCAACTGGTGAAGAACTGGCTGCCGCGCTAAACAAACTGCAAATTGGTAAGAAAGACAGACGGACAACAACAGGAAAATGAAGTGTAGGTTTTGCAAGGCCCTGCGCATTGTGGACTGGGTCTTCAGAAGACCTTGAGAGGGAGTTAGAGGTAGGAGACATCAGGAACAAGACGCTTCTGTGAACAAAAGGGGGAGGAAGCCGCACGGGCAGAGCCGGGCAGGACTCCACGTGGGCCTGGCCAACCCTGGGCGGACCTGCGTTTGTCTGTCCTATGTCAAGCTACAAAGCTAGGCCACCCAGAAGAGCGTGACCGCGGACGGGGTGGCTCTGTGCAGGGGACCACCCTCCCCACAGCTGAGCAGCAGCTAGAGCAGGGCTCAGTCGCCTGGTCCGGATTCTGGTGGGAGCGTCTAGACAGAGTCAGCCGCTTCGCCCTCCGTGGCCACCAGGGGGCGCGCGGCGGCCGAGACGGGCTGTGGGACATCCCACCGCATCGCCGGATCACTGTGGCCCGCTGAGATGAGCCTGGGGCTGGAGCGCTGCTGTGGGCTCCGGGCTCCTTCCTCCAAGTCCCGGGCGCCAGCGGCTTCTCCTTGGAATCCTAGCTGCGGAAGAGGGCCTGCGCTGTCTGGTGGGTAAGGCTGGCGCCACCCGGGAGGAGAAGGATAGCCACGCTCCCTGCCTCAGAGAGGTGCTGAGTTCATTTTTCAGGGCCTCTCACGGGAGCAGGGGGCAAATGCAACCCACCGTCCTGGACACAGAATCCCGGTTAGACCGCCCTCCTTCCCCGCCTGAGCCGGGAGTAGGGTTGTTAGATGGAACACTCACCGGAAAGGAGGCCTAGTTAAGTTTGAATTTCAGATAAATAACGTATTGTTTTTTTTCTGTAAGTACGCCCCATAAAACATACTATATTTTTTTACTTCTACCAACCAAACAACAAAGCAGACAAACAAACAAAAAAAACTTATTTAATGTGAAATTCAAAATTGATTTGGTGTCTTATATTATTCCTAGAACCTCAGCCAAGAATGAATTCAGGGGCTGGGAAGGTTTGGGAGGAAATAGAACATGTAAAGCCTTGCTAGAGTTCTTTAAAAATACCAGCACTCTCTATTCTGTTTCAGGTAAACATAAATACAACCTCGTTTATGACATTTTCCCAAAGCCCTTTTTATGTCCAGTGGGCTCACACGCACCCACACGCAGACGTGGACTGTGCTTCCACTACATTTCATCTGGGCCAAGGACTCAACCTCGTAAAGAACAAATCCCTTCAAATTTCCCTAATTTCCCTGCTTTTCCTTGTTGAGCTCATTTCTGTCTTCCCACCGTGGAACCCCGCTGAATACAGGACAAGCTCAGGTGTAGACTCGCTGTTCTAGGGCGCTGGCCGGCCTGGGTCTTGGAGGAGAGGAAGCCAATCGAGTCAGAACGCGAGGGCTATGGTGACAAAGTGCCACACACTGGAGGCCTTAACCAGGAGAAATTCAGGGGCTCAGTGTCCTGGAGGCTGAGCCCGAAATCAAGGTTGGTTTCAGGCTGGTTTCTTCTGGCGGTGGTGAGTGAAGTATGTTCCAGGCCTCCCACGCTGGCTTTAGACGGCCATCTCCTCTCAGTGTCGCTTCTCATTGTCCCCTGTCTGTGTGTGGATATCTGTGTCCAAATTTCTTTTTTTTTCATAAGGCTATCAGTCACCCTAAGGATTTCACTTTAATGCTTAGCTCTGTAAATAAGGTCACATTCTGAGGTACTGGGGATTAGGACCCCAACATGTCTTTTTGGAGGTGGACACAAACTCATAACACCACAGAAACCCTCGTGAATGGAGAAGCCGCTCACTGGCGCCTGAGAGGTGACTCTTCTGTGGAGTGCCATCAGCTCTTCTGTAGACAGGGCCTCGACTACCTGGCTGGGGCCTTCAGGAAGCTCATAGCATCCTGAAAGCGCTGATCTCATGGGTGAACTGGTGTCACTGTTGCACACTGAGCTGGGTCTAAAGCCAGCCTCAGCTTTGGGGAAGCCTGCTGAGCTCCTGGCAGGAGAGGGACCTTCCCGTCCACCGTGGGCCTTGTGTGAGGCGTTTACCTCAGAGCTGCTGCTTTTCCCGGAGCAAAGCCCCTTGTTTGCTCTCACTGCAGGTGGGAGCAGGATCTTACACAGAACACTCCATAGATTTATCCAACACATGTAGCATTTGAGTTCATTGGAGAGCTGGGCAGTGGTCCAGAAAAGAAAAACAAGGGCCAGCCATTTGGAGGATCTAAGGTAAAAATTTAATAAGGTGTAGTAAATGTTCATAGTAATTTCAGGCTCATAAAACCCAGCCTCCCACACCGTATCCCCTTACTCAGACAATAAAGCTCTCGTGCAGCTCCGTGTTCTGTCCCACACAATCAAAAGCTGAGGACTCAGAAAAACACCCTTGCTTCTTGCTTTCTCTGGCGTGTAGTCACTGAAGAGCTTCAAATCCACCTTCTCGTTCTCATAAGGTTTTAATATTCTAATTAGCAACAGAGGATGGTGAAAGCAAGTGAGAAATTCCAGTTTTTCCATTGGTTCACAGAGACAAAGGAATCTGGTCAGTCGTTGTGTAATTTCCAGAGAACCACCACCTTTGCAAGCGGAAGACAAGGCCAGGGGCAAACCAGCCAGCAGGACCTCCTGCCTCTCCCATTTCTGCGCTGGGAGTGTCTATGGGATTCGGCAGTGCTCGCTTGGGAGTCAGGGCCACTGTCTCCTGCTGCACTGGAACACGTTTTGCTCCTTCAGCCTAATTTCAGGCGTCTGTTTTGCTAGAGCGAGAGCCTCCGTGTCACTGTTGGAAATGACGGTTTGGTTTTTAGTCTTGCTAAGATATACCCTGCATGTTGGAGATGCAAACTTTGGCGTGCGGGCCAGTGAGGTAGGGACTGCGAGTGTAATTGTGGTGTGAGAGGTAGCTGTTTGGGAAAGAAAGTGGATCCGATTTTCAAAATAAAGTCATTTGGCAAAGTGAGGACGCCTGGATCCTGCTGGGGGCTGCGGGGGCAGCTGGGGGTTCCAAACCCTTCCACACTGCACACCTCGCAGTCTGCTACGGCTTAGGGCTGAAAGCCCGTGCACATTGTTTCCGCCATCGGCTTCTCTTGATGTGTTGTGAGCACATCAGTAATGTTCCCCAGTGTGTTTAAGGTAAGAAGTGTCTGCATAGGGCATTTCACTGAGTCACCCCGTACACGGCATCAGCTCCTCTTCTGCCAGGCTCCCCGGTGTCCTCCTTCAACATAAGAGATCCCACCTGCCCATCGTGCTGTCTGTGCGGCGGGCTCTTGGTTTCTTTTCTCCTCGTTACCCACATTCGTGTCTGTTTCCCACCATTTAACTACCCTGTGTCATGGTTTATGTTTTATTTTGGAATTCTCCTCCCTCCACCGTCTTAGTGTCCGGCTTTGGTTTAACGATCACACTCCTTTCATTCCGATACAGGGTTCTGGGGGATTTCCACTGCTCACTGTGCCATCATTTGATTTGTCTTCATGTAAAACTCTCCCCCATTGTTTTGTTTTATTTTCTCTCTCCCGCTCGGGGTACAGTGGGAGGGTGTGTGTCCTCAGGCTGGCCCACAGGACGTTCCCAGCAGCCCTGGCCCTGGTGTTTCTGCCCTCTGCGTCGGTGGCTGCTCTGGTTCCCACGGACAGTGGAGTGTGCCACAGCCCGCTTCCGGTTTCTGCACATCTGGCTCAGTTATTCCCTCTGGAAACACCTCACTCTCCTCCCCAAAGCTGACTGCGCCTGTGCGTGTACTGTGCCTCGATAGCCCCTCGGTAGGGCCCGCAGGTGAGCACAGCGCAGGAGTCTCTAGCAGGGCAGGGCCGGCAGGTTGGCGAAGGTGTTGGTGAGTGATAGAAGCATACTTGTGTGTGGTGGGAGGCGTTTCTCCACACTTTGGAATATCTGGGGGTCAAGCGGCATTGAAGTTTTAAGATTGCTGCAAAGTAGTCTGCTCTAAGTTTAGCCAGTTCTAGATTGTCTTTAACCTGTGGCTTGACGACCTTCTAAAAGGGCGCTGGAGTGATGTTTCTGGCCATTCCCAGGAGAGCCCTTAGGTTCTGTGTAAATCAGTGGATGCAGAGGAGATGCGGGAAGGGGAATGTGTGCAGTTACGCAGCTCAGAGTTGTGGGGCTGAGCTCTCTAGCCAGGACCTCTGCGAAAACTAGATGTTAGAAATGTTTAAAAAGTATTCTATACCATTTATATCATTTTTCAAACTGACATGTATCGAGTGCTTTTGACATGCCAGGTCCTGTCTGAGCACTGTGAGGGCGCTTGATTAAATAATCCATACAACTAATCTCCTGTTTCCGTCCCCCTCACAGATGTGGGACCCGAAGCCCACACAGGGTTAAGTAATCGGCCAGAAGTTACTCACTGAGCATGTCCGCGTCAGGATTCCAGCCCGGACGCTGGATGGGCAGAAGTGTTCTTGCTGTCCCTGTGACTGTAAGAGCCCTGGTGCAGGCTGCAGGCAGCCCAGTGCCCGGCGGGGAAAGACTCTGGGTAAGTGTGAGCTGGCTGATTAAAGAGAGATGCTTTAAAATAAAAAGGGAAAGAATCCCAACCTCTGTAAAGGTGACACCCGCAACCCTGCCTTTCACACGATCAGTTGCTGCTGTGGGGAGCAGACTGGGGGGGTGTGGTGGGTGAGGGATCCGCGGAGCAGGCTGATACCCAGGCTTAGGGCGCTCCACCTCACTGCCTCGGCTTTGACCACGTTCCCTTCCAGGAAACTTCCTCGGTGACTGATTTTGTTTACACCCTTCTCCCCTCGTAGCATCTCTGACACTCCCTGTTCCCTGTCCCTGCTTACTTTTCTTTCTTAACACTCACCACCCTTTACGTTACAGTATGTGTATTTTATTTTCTTGCCTGTTGTCTGTCTCCCCACAGTAGAGATTTCGGGTCATTTGGTAAATAAACCACGCCTGACATAATGCCTGGCATTCCAAGGGCACTTCTTACCGCATGACTGTGCGTGAAGACTCCTGTTCTTTCTGCCAGCAGAAGTGAGGACGTCCACTGCTCAGGAATCTGTGCACATCTGATATGCCAGCGAATTCAGAAGAGCCCAAGTTACCCTACATTCCCTGTCTGTGAGACGTGTGCCCTGGTCTCATTAGCTATTCCAGACCAGCACCCAGCGCGTAACAGGGCACGGGCTCTGCTTTCAAAGAACTCTCCCCACTGGATCCAGAACTCTTGGAATCGAGGGTAGTAGACGCTCATAGCATTGAATGAATTGGCGTATCTTGTTCACTCATTCATCATTTCACAAACATGTCTTGAGTGCCCGCAGGTGGCACTGTCCCAGGCTCTGCACTCATCACTGGGTGTCCGTAAAAGACACACCCCAAGAAAACACTTCCGATGTCTAGCTGAAACGTGACGGTTAAGTAGTTCCTTAAAGACTGTGCAATTGCAAGCCAAGCTTCTATTGGGAGTAAAAAAGGAGTCAAACTAGTTTTAAAGTTTTTAAAAGTATGTTTACAATTTTTATTTGAATTTATAATTAAACTGTATCATGATTTTAAAAATTACCACTCTCTTGGGTTAAAGTGAATCACGCTCCTGGCTTTTGTGGGCTCCTCCGCTCCCAGAGGCAGAAGATCAAGAGCTTTCTTTTCCTCCTGTTTTTTGTGTCTTCCAGATTTTTAATGGAGATGCTGAAATATTTTTAAAAAATTGGATATGTGTGCATCTGTCACCTATCAAGAAAGAAATGTAAAAGGCAAATAATTCTATGTGCTTTATATCAAAGATAGCTTCTCCCTGTCCTCCCCTCCCCACTTTCTGGTGAGAGCTGCCTGTTCCCTGGTGAAGCTGATAAATGAAGAAGTGTCAGGGGAAGCACTTGCTGGTACGGCTGGGGGGGATGACCCAAACCCTGAGCTTGCGGGGTTTGCGTAGAAGCACATTAGACACACTCATTTATGTGGACGGGCAGCATAACGTCAGAAAATGAGCACTCGGAACTCATGATTGGCTCCCCAGACTCCCAAACACACCAAAAATACTTGTTCAGTGTGTGTACATTTTACAAGCCCTGGGGCTGGGGATTTAGCTCAGCGGCGCAGCGCCTGCCTGGCAAGCCGAAGATCGTGAGTTCGATTCCCGGTACTGGAAAAACAACAACAACAAAAAACCAAACAAAAAAAGAAGATAACATTTTACAAGCCCAGGCAGAAGTGGGAGGGCTTCTGTCTTGGAGCATGATGTCAGTGGTACAGTTCCGTACCACTGACCCCTTGATACAAATCCCACACAGGGCTCTCTGATGCCGCGATGAGGGAGATACCCAGCTCAGTTCTACTGGATCTGTGAGTCGAGATGAAATTTGATGTATTCCTGAGAGTAGTGGTCGTGGTGGTGAGGGAAAGGTCAAGACTGGGAGTCACAGCTCAGGATGGGCTCTGGAACTGTGTGGCTATACAGCCCTCAGGATATGAAAAGTGAGGTCATTTGAGAGACTGGAAATATATCACTGTAAGAATAGTGACTTTGAGAATGTTGTATTCCATTCTAGATTTTTTTTTTCTTTTTGGTACCAGGAATCGAACTCAGGACCTTGCGCTTGCCAGGTAGGCAACTTGTGCCTCTGAGCTACATCCCCAGCCGGAGAATGTTGTATTCCAGAACATCATGGCCGTAGACCGTATCTTAGCTGAACAAGGAGTGCATGGCATTGTTGGTGAAGCATGTGTGTAAATAGCTTTAGCAACTTCCCAAGTAAGCAGGGTTTAGCAGGCCCACCCATTTGGAAATGGCTGTGTCATTTAAGCAGATTCTAACCTGCTTCTCTCTCTCTCTTTTTTGTAAAAGAAAGCAGAAAGCTATGTCATACAATGTGCATTATGCTTTGCTTTATGTGAATTCAGATATTGATTAAGAACTGTCATCACCCTGTGTTTGAGGAATCACCACACCAGTCTGGGAAGTCAAAAGTCTTGAGGGAGTGAGCCACCCCCAGCCCGGCCCAGGCAGGCAGGTGACTCTGAGTGCCGAGGCCAGCACTCTGGGAAGCCCAGAGCCAGGGAGGAGGCTCATATTGCTGGGGGCCCTGACTTGAAAGGCGCCAAGGTCTTTGGATGCGGTTGGAGATCCAGTATTTGGAAGTTGGATTTTAGGTCTGGTTGCTGGGTGCCTCAGGTGGAGTTGCATCCGTTCAGAAGTTAATGTGGCCTCTGAGGGGTGAGGATAGAGCTCTGAGTGAAAGACTTAGTGGCTTTTTTTTTTTTTTGCTTTTTTGAGACAGGGTCTCACTGTGTAGTTCAAGCTGGCCTTGAGCTCATTATGTAGCCAGGCTGGCTTTGAACTCACAGGGATGCTCATATGATCCTCCTGCCTCAGCCTTCCAAGTGCCAGGATGATAGGCATGTGCCACCATGCACTGCTTCTCATAGTTTTACTTCAGAGGACTCACTTTTATCTTTTTGTATCCATTTGAAATACAGCTACTTGTTCTCAGCCTGTTGATACAATATATCATGCCTTCCAGGATACTAGTCATAATTTTTTAAAAAATTTTTTTCTCTCTGAATCTTGTCTGTTTTCTCCAGATTTCTTTTTGACCTTTTTGTTGGTTTTGGTCTCTCATGCCAGAGGCTCAGCCTTAGCAGGCCTTTAAATTGTTCCTTGGAAGCTTTCTACATAGCAGCGAAGCTTTCCCGTCTTTCCCACCTTGTAAATGAGCCCCATCTGTGAGTGTGGCGGGCTCTTCTTGTGGGCGTCAGCTTCCCCAGAGGAAGTCTCCAGTGTCCCTCGGGGGGGGGGCGGTAAAAGCCCTTCTGGCCACTGAGTCGGATAGGGGCGTCAGTCTCGCTGCTCAGGATGGGAATTAAAAGAATTTATCGGTCCACGTTTGCAGTACGTAATGATCACATTCATCCTGGGGGGCTGGGGCATGGACGGGACACATCTCCTTTTTTTTTTTTTTTGTTTTTAGTTTTTCTCCCGTACCGGGAACCGAACTCAGAACCCTGCGCTTGCCAGGCAGGAGCTTTGCCGCTGAGCTAAATCCCCTTCCTGGGCCCCTGAAAGCGCATATTGTGAGGTATGCTCTCCCTGGGATTCTCCCATCAGGGTGCATGGTCGCATTTCTCAGGTCTACCTGGGCCGTTCCCACTGGTCAGTCTGTTTTGCAGCTACTCCAATTTTATTGCTTTTGTCCCCTGTCCCTCTGTCTTCCACAGAGTATTCCCGCTGTTTAAATTCCCTCTTCCAGGGCTGCGGATGCAGCTCTGTGGACCAGTGCTTGCCGGCCCGCAACAGGCCTTGGTTGTTTTAACCCATCTCAGCAGAGAACCAAACCAACCAAATCTTTGCCTGTAGTGGCACCTGATGTGCCTATGCCAGCCACTGTCCTCCTGAATCCCGGTTGCCTGCAGGAGAAGCAAAAGCGCACATGGCTTGAACTTGACCGGTCACAGACTGGGCCAGGCCAGAATCCCCGCGCCCAGCTCCGCGCTCGCGATCAAACCTGGGCCTTTCTAGTTCAGCGCTCTTTCAGTTTCCAGGACTGCCTTTCACATCTCTTTAGTTGTTCTTAGGGATATAACTGGGTTGGACCCTGTTTTACAGATCGGGGGGTGGGGCTGACGTTCCTCCCTGGAGAGTCCCCCAACTCTCCAGGTTTCATGCTGGTCCAGCAAGGTGGTTGCTGCTTTTGCTTCCTGAACGGGCTTGTCACGGCCAAAGGCGGGCTGTCCCGCCGCCCTCCGCGGAGTGCCGGCTCCCCGGCTGCCCAGCCTCTAGACCTCGCCACAGGCTGGGGTACAGCGCAGGCTCCCCTCCCGCGGCTGCTGGAGGCGACCGGAGCGCGCGCTTCCCGGACTGCACCGTGGCCTCCAGCTCCAAGGAGGGCGCAGCGCCCGCCCCCTCTCCCGAAGCCGGCCTGGCCGGGCGGGGCGGGGGGAGGTGCGCTTCAGGGACTGCTTCCCCAGCCCTCCGCCCCGCACGAGCCCTTGCACCCCGGCCACATCCTCCTCCCCAGCGGCAGCCTGGCGCGCGTTCCTCTGGCTGGGCTTCTGGGGCGCTGCCTTGGTTTCCCCTGCTTGGACCCGGGGCACTGGACCGTCTCTTCTCCAGTTTCCAGAGCGGTTCGGCCTCATCGAGCCTTAATGCCCTTTCCGCGGTCTGTGCGAGGCGGGGTCTCATCGGGGCCTCTGCCACCTCCGCCCCCAGGCAGGTCAGGCCCCTCCAGGGCCAGAGTGGACTGAAGCCACCAAGAAGCCTGGTGGCTGTCACTGCTACAGGCATGGGGAAATTGAGGGACGGAGGCAAGAGGTTCCAGGAAAGATGCTGCCCCTTTCTCGCCTGTGGATGCCACCAGGAGAGGTTTTCACTGTGTTGGAATAAGGATATGGGGCCTGACGGCACCTGGCAGCCTCACTGTGACCATGAGGGAAAACAGGCATACAGTGATTCAGACCAGGTCTTTGGTTGAACTGTTGAATCATCCTCACCTAAAGCTCTCTGGATCCCTTGACTGCGAGTGCTCTTTATTTTTTCAAAAGCCAGTTTGAGTTGTTTTTGCTGTTACACACAGCCCTCCTTCCCTCTTCCTTCCTCTTGTCTTCTCACACCCAGTCCCAGGGTTCAGTTTCTAGCTTGTGTAGGCTTCTTACAGACATGAGCCATACTTTAAGCTGGGTGTCTGTTAGAGGAATTGATTCATCAGTTGCTTCTTATTCACCAACGTGCTGGTTTTTATTAAAGAAGATGAAAAATTTCAGAGTGCTTCATCTGCACTGAGATTTGTGTTTGCTGCGGAAAGCGGGGGCTGTGTGCTTGCTTCTAACCAAGGGCCCAGTGCTGGTCATGGAGACCTTCCCTTAGGCAAAGGAAGACTGAACCTCAGGTGGCGGCGACTTCATTCTCCAGTCAGATCCCCAAAGTCTATTTTTTTATTTTAAAGAGAAAAAAAGCCCAGTAAAAATGATGCAGAATTTCAACACCAGAGGATAGGAAATTAACAACGGTTATTATGTTGTATGCTGTTGTCTTCAAAGTCGTTGCTCAGATTATAAGATATAGTCATGCAAAATTGATCAAACAATTTAAGCACTAACTGTTCCTTTCAATGAACTTCAATGAAATTTTTAAAAACATGGAGTCTCTCTTTGGCAAACCCCGGTATATCCCATTTTTGTCGTCTCCCCCTGTATGCACCCTGCAAGAGTTTGTAGAAACTGAACGAAAAGCAGCTCTTTTTTTAATCAGCTGAAATTTCATATGCTTGGTCCTTTATTTGAAGGTTTTCTTATGGCCACTTGGATCACATGTGGAAGTTTGGCGAAGGTTGGCATTTTCAACTGTAGAAGTTTCTCACACTTCAGGTTTTACTTCACATACATAAACGGGGCGGGGCGTGTAGAGGAAAAAAGGAAACAGGCAGTAGAAGAATTCGGGGGCTTGGAGGGCGCAGCTCAGGGGTAGAGCTCTGGCCTAATATGCTTGAGCCCCTGGGTTTGATCTCTAGCAGTATTAAAAAAAGAAAAGAGAGAGAGAGAAAGTGTTTAGAGAGTACTTGTATGAGCCTTGAAAGTCACGTTTGTTTAAAAGAAACACAATTTGGGGGCCAGGAATTTAGCTCAGTGGCGCAGTGCCTGCCTGGCAAGTGTGAGGTCCTGAGTTTGATTCCTGCTACTCCCCCACCAAAAAGAAACACAATTCAAAAGGGATCACAAGGAGATAATAGTTTGATAGCTAAAGGAGGAGAGAGATAGTAGACAGATGTTTTCCTTTCAGCTTTAGCAAATATATTAATGTAATGACAGATATCTAAAATTAATCACTTTTGGAGGTGGGGAGAATCAGAGGGGAAAGCTTGTGCTAACACTGATCAAGATTAGGTCACTTTAACCCTTTATCTCTTTCATTCATTCAGAAATATATATCTATTGGTTTCCTACCATAGACCAGGCACCGCATTCATGCTGGGCATGCAGTGGAGGGCAAGGTCCATTCCCCACCATCTTGGAATGTATAGCTGTGCGGCCAGTGGAAAGTCCCGATGTTGGTGCCCTTCCCAGACCACCTCCCGGCCCTGGACCGAGGGCCTCGGGGAGGTGCGCCTCCCAAGCTGCCAGACCTTCAGAAAAGTTTCCACCAAGACAATTCCTGAATAACAGCCCAGTCACAGGCTCAAAACAGCAAGGGGAGGAGGCCCTGGAAAAAGGACATGTTTTGGGTCCAGAAAGTTTGAGTGAGTCATTTTTTATTTAGATAGGAGTGATTTTCACTTCCTTTGATCACCATCTTACTGTGTCTAGCTCATGGCTTTACTAAAACTAAGGCAGCGTGTTATCGCTCTGAGAGGACCCCACTGAGGGTGGGGGACAGAGGCCTGTCCCTGCATGGACTCTGGAAATAGTCACGAGGAGGAAGCCCAGAGAATGGGACAGTGGTGTGACCAGGGGAAGCCGGGGACACTCTTCAGACTTGAAGCCAAGTCAGCAGCTGAATGGAACCCACAACCACAGGGCAAACGTCTTAATTTTTTTTCAGTGGTAAAACTTGAGGGCTCAGATTTATGAGAAGTAAAAGCAACTTTGCCAAACAACAAGGGAAAATTCTGTTACTAATGATACACCTTTTTATTATTGCAAAAGAAGTGGGCCAGCCTTTGTAGAAAATATGAAAAAGAAAGAGTAAAGGGTTAAAAATTGCTCATAATTTTTATTTGCTCATATTTATAAATGCAATCATCACTCTCAACATAGTGCCCATATTTTGTAAATAATTATTTGCTCAAAATAAAATTATATTCTGCCTGTTATTTTGCAACCTGCAGTCTGTTCCTCTTTTTCCTGTTCTTGTAATGAACCCAGGGACTCACCCGCGATAAGCCAGTGTTCTATCACAGAGCTGTGTCCGCACCTCATGCTTTATTTTCTTCTATAACATCTGTATTGGTCAGTATGTCCTTTGCTGGGACGAATCACCCAACACCTTCAGCGTAAAGCAGGGTGCATTTAATTTGGCTCAGGTTTCACTCCAGGGTTGGCTGGCTCCATGACAGGAGCATCATGACAGGAGGGTATGGCGGAACATGGCAGCTCACTCCATGGTGCACGGGAAGCAGGGCAGCAAAGAGTGCCAGAGAGGAAGAGACTGGGGCCCAGATATAGTACCCAAGGTCACGTCTCCATGACCCACCCAGAAATATGCTTTACTGATCCCCTAGGTGCATCCATACCAATCAATTTGACAGTCCCACCCCTTGTCAACCTGACACCCGGACACATCTCCTTAAACCATATTTAATCCCAAATAAAGGTATCTACAGTTTCATAATTCACCTAGTCTGATACACCTATGTACAATCAGTAATGCACTAATTCCCTTCTTAAAGTCTCAACAGTTCCAGCATCATCCAAGTTCAAGCGCAAAGTCTCCTCTGAGACTCAAAACAAATTCTTAGCTGTAAACCCTTGGAAATTAAAAAAGCAAGCTGTATATTCCCAATATACAATGGTACTATGGAGTAAACATTACCTTTCCAAAAAGGAAGGATGGGGGATGGAAAAGATTAGGACCGAAAGCAAGACCAAACTCAGCAGAATAACCATATGCCTCATCCTCTCCATAGCCATGAAGATTCTCAGCCTTCAGGAAAACTTACAGCGAAGTGTGTTAAATGATGGACGGAAACTTGTGGGGCAGCTTGAGTATAGGAGGCTGGTCTCCCTTTCCTACTTTAGGAAAGGAATCTTGGCTTTTCCTCTTGTTCTTTCTCCACGCTTTCTTCTTGGTACCTCTGCCTCAAATCAACAGTCCACAGTGTTAGTCTATCCAGTCTTATTGATCCTATTGAGAGAGGGGTCTTATTGATCTATTGTATGCTTTTTGCCTTTCAGTAATCATGGCCATATCACAGTCACCGCTGAGCATGCCTCCAACACAAAGCATTGCCACAGAAAGCAATTCATAGGATTGTAGAATGTCAGAACCAAAACCACTATCTTGTCCCTATTATTGTCCTCCCTGTTAAAGAGAAGCAATGATTTGACCATTGTCATTGGATTCCTAGCAAAGCTGGAACAAGGGACAGTGCCAGATGCCGTGTGGTAGAGTGATTAATTATGGTGTCTTTGGCAACAGACTGGCTGTGTGAATCCTATATCCACCACTCCTGAGTTGTGTGATTTTGGAAAAGTTATTAAAAATTCCCAAGTCTCAGTTTCCTTATCTGTGGAATGGGAATGATACATATTTTATCAAATTGTTGGAAATGGGATACTATAGGAAACAGTAAAGGTCAGCTATTATCATGATAACAAAGCTTGCACTAATATTACCACCTTAAGATTTGCATTTGAGACATCCCAGTGTTAACTTGCTCCTCGGGTTAGCTCTTACTAACTACCTACCAAGTAAGAGTTGTGTAAAAAGAGTGAAGCATGCTGCCTGTGGTCTGAAAGAGAAGTGTAACAACGGTGCCAGGGACAGTGATAAACATGGCCCTGCCCGAGCTCCTGAGGACCAGCCAGGAATGGGTAAGATTAGGATATTCTCTCAGAGGAAGTCTTTTATTTTTCTTAACAGATCCCCTAGTTAACGTCAGTCATCCCACCAAACTTCTTCTCTCTTACATGTTTAACTTAACTTTTTCTTGTAATTACAAACATTTGGGATCCTTAAAAATGCCATTTGCCTTTCTTGATGCCTATTTCATTATCTGTCTATCGTCCATCTATCTATCTTCTATCTATCTCCAGCATTAGTTAATTTCAGTTTTAGGCATCACTGTCAAGTTGACCAGGTGTCCAGCTGGATGGTAGCCCCTGCATCCTGGACACATCTGACTTAGGGATGGGCCACTGCTATAGCTCTTTTGGGAGGAAGCAAAGAAGTATGGACCTCAAGGATCAGGATCAGAAACCCCACCAGAAATGGGCAGAAAACCACAATCTCCTTTTTTAATTTTTTTAAAAAATTAGATTGTGCTAAGTTTTTTTTTCCCCCCATAGGGCTTGGGGAATATTTCTGAACATTAAGAAAGATTTACTTTATTTATCCAAGTAAGTATTTTAAAGTGAAGACCAGTTTAGTATCTCAGCCCATTCGAGGTACTTTGGAGCTAATGTGGTATGAGATTGAATGTGAGCTCACACACAGAACTACAACCACTCTGGCAAGGACAGAGATGCAGGCCAAAATTCAATCACCCGTCACGTCTAATTTTCTCTTTCCTCTTCCTCTTTCTCCCCCTCCCTCTTTAATAAAATCAGTCTATATGAAAATGATCCAAATGAACAACTACTAAACCTCCCTTTTCCCTCGTAAAGCAAAAGAAACAAAATTCAATGATCACGTGAACTAAGGGAGTAAATTCCTTCTTGCTCAATCAATGCTTTGATTTAAAAAAATGTCACCCCATCATCATAATTTGAAGAGAGAAAATTTTTATTTTTTTCTAATGTGACTGTACATATATTCAGGAAAACCTCAGGTTGTAGTTGGATTTTTTACATTCTCGATAGTTAGCCAAGTTGTGGCTGGAGGCTGAATTAGCCCTAGTCAAGGTTTGGTCCTGGCTAAATGTGCGCGTGGTGGGGTGCAACTGTAAGGACATTACACCTTAGAGGAAATACTTGGGACTACCCCATTATCCCAGGGAGAATGAAATGGGCAGCGGGGAGCCCTGCTCTGCTTCACCGAGAAAAGAAAGAAGAACAGTATCTTTACCAGACAAACTGGTTTGCCACGGAGGAGGCAATGGGGCACAGAGGACACGCAGCAGCTCTCTTCCTGCAAGAGGACCGTTGTGCCCCAGGCAGTCCCCAAACAGCTTCAGGAGTGTAGACATGCTTGTAACCTTCCACATGCAGATCTGGAGCCCAAGGCACAGGATCTGTGACCTGTACACGTGTGTTGTAGGCAGCGGAGAGTTAATAAATCCAAGCATGGCTTAGTCACCTATGTAGCCATACTCCGAACGCACAAGCTCTCTGAACAACAGTGCTGTTGGAGCATTTCCCACTCCTCCTTCCCTCTCTTCTTTTTTTCTTTCCTTAGTTTCTTCCTTTTCTTTTTTTTTTTTTTTTGTCCAAAGCCCAACACTACTACCTTACAGGCCCAGTTTTGTCCTCACTGCTGCAGGACTGGGACAAAAAGATGATGTTACAGTCTGGTTTCTATGGCAACAGAGGAGGGGTAATGAAAGCTGAAATGTTGGAAACACCCATTCTGACAGTTGTGACATAATTCAGGGTATTACAAGGATGTAACTACCAAAGAAGTGCAAGTGTGGCTACATTTCAGCTCCTGTCGACAAAAAGCTACACTGTACATTTCTCTTTGTTGGGCTGCTAAGAGGAAGGAAACACCAACACACACACACACAGGCTTTGTTTTCTGCATGTAAAATGTGTGTGCTCTTTAAAAGCCAGTGGTTGGCTGGTTTTCCGGACATGATGTGGTTGAAGCTGTCATCGTAATGGAAATTCATTGCTGTAGCTATGGTAAATCGAGTGTTCTGCCTGTGCTGAATGCATTAGGCTAATGAGATATTTGCAGGAGAGCAGGGCTGCTGGGGACTGTGAGCTGCTATCCCTGGGAGGAAGATAGCTTTTGCAATACTTGGTTCGCGTGTGCCAAAAGTCACCCGTCTTCTTGAGCCAACGTTCTCTGTCTGCTCAGCACCCTGATCAGGGCCCCGGTGAACAGGCTGTAGGTAAGGGAGGTGCACAGTGTGTGTGTGTGTGTGTGTGTGTGTGTGTGTGTGTGCGCGCGCGCGCGCACGCCGTGAATAGCGGTCCTTCTCTTTGAGCTGTCAGTGTGATAGGCTACCTGCTGCAGTTTTTCAGGGTTGCACGCACACCGCTAGGGCAATGCCTGAGTGTCCTGCTCTAAGCACGTGAGCCCAGCAGGTCAACTTCAGTTCCTCCTGTGCAAATACAGGGTTTCATTTCTTCACCGGGTAATCTTCAGAAAGGAAGACTGCCCCAAACTATACAGGCTATACATTTTGGATATATACACATCCACTACTCCTTAACTCTGCATTGAAATATGTGCAAAGTTTTTTTCCCACCAAATATGAACTCAAATAACTAGCTAGCATTTTTCCACAGCAATTTTGCTTTGCCTTGTTTTTTTTTTTTAAGTTAGAAATTATAGTATGTCTTGAGGCAAATATATTTACCTAAAATTTGATTGTTAAAAGTGATGTATTATGAATATGTCAAGGTATTGACTTTTAATTGAATTTTGCTTAGAATATCTCAGGTGGACTATTTCCCATCTTTGTGCCAGTTGCTGGTTTTAGTTAGTTCTGGGGGTGGGGGCAAAACCGTGGGGACTGTGAAGTGTTCAGAAGAGTTTCCCCAAGTTCACACACAAAGTCCCCGCTCTCCCAGGTGCAGTGCGCAGTGATTTAACGAGTTTCCGCTTGCTCCTCTGCGGCCAGTGGAGTCCTCTCCGGGTCACTTGCCACTGGGGCCAGGGCTGGTGAGTGAGAGCCAGGTGCAAGCGCATGAATGGAGTCATCCCAGAGACAGTTGGTGTGCTGCACTCGACGTCCTCTCACTGTCTGTGACAGCAAGCGAGAGGCGGCTTGTCGTGTTGTCTATAGATTCTACGACGGTCCTCGAGAGGATCGGACCAGCAGTACCTTTCTGAGATGGTGGCTTTTGGGTTGGTCTAGACACTGTGCTGCTAGCGTGTGGAATCGAGGTGCTTCACAGCTGAGGCGTTAGTTGTCTACTCTGCTTTTGCTCTGTCTCGCCTGAGGCATGCTTTCTGAAGAGTGAGGGGCACAGTTGTTTCTTTTCTTGAGACTTTGTTTTTCTTAAAGTGGAATATGGGGAGTGAAAGCAGAAAAATAATTACACAGGTATTCATCGTGTGATAAAGTGCACTGTCTGGAGATGTGATATTTGTGGGGCATTTTTGTGTTGCTTGGTCGGACCAGGTTGAAAATGTGGTAAAGGGTAAAATGTGATAAGGGACTGGAACCACAGCAGCTGGATGAAGATAACCTGGAAAAGCAGTAGTGCACGATCATCAAAACTCAAATAAAACGTAGAAGCTTCATTTCAGGAAACTTGTTTGGTGGCTTCAAAATCTACCCTTTCAACATACTTGTGACATAGTCTTTAAAAATATGAATTTTTTTTTGCTGTTAAAACTGTGTACGTGGAAGAGCTCTGGGACAGTTTGATAAATTTATCAGTCTGCTTGATTTGTGAAATTATTTTAAAAAAGCATAGGTCCCACAAAAACCTAGTTGTTTTATGTTGAAAATGTTTACATTTCTTCTGTGTCACCAAAATCACTGTTCGCTGGCAAAGAGAAAGAGAGAGAGAGAGAGAGACAGGGAGAGGGAGAGAGACAGGAAGACAATAAGAGAAATGAGCGCATTCCTTCCTGTCCTGGTTTTGCCCTTGGTGGTGTTTTCACCAAACAAAACCCTCAGAAGCACTTTCACTTTCTGGTTCAGGGTCCTGGGGGTGAGTGAGGTAAAGGCTTTCCTCTAGCACCAGGTAAGTTGAGGACAACTGCTGCCAGGAAATAAGCCACCTTCAAATTCTGTCACCCTACTGTCAGAGCTTTTATCCTGAGAATTTTTTTTTAAAATAATGACTGTTTAAATGTTCAATAATATTTGCTGATGATAAAAATTCAAACAATAACCCCCAAGGACAAAGACAGAAGTGTTGCATTTTTAAAACAACTGATCAGAAGAATCACAACCTCATTGTCTAAATGTCTAGTTACATGGTGGCATATTTATTTATTTTTCATCTCACTTTTGAATCCCAATTACTTAAGTTTGATAAGTGTAAGGAAACACTCTGAAACCATACTAAGAATGCCCAGAGAAGAATAATCTTTCTATATCATAAATCTGGGAAGTTAAATTTTACAGAGTTTCATGCTGTAGTTCTATTTACAAGTTTATGTGATCCCAGAGCACATCACACACACACACACACACACACACACACACACACACACCCTTTGTGTCATACACTTCAGAACAACAGTTGGGCCAGGCAGAGGTGTTGCCTGAGGCTCAGAACTTGCTCTCAGGGTCCCTGGTAGAGCTCCTTGGGGCCCCTTTTTCCTCCCTGTGTTGATGCCCTTGGAAGCCTCAGCACTGTGGGGACCCTGGGTAGCCAGGCTGTGCTCACTTTGCACACATCCTGGAAACAGTTGGAGGGAACACCGCCCCTCCTTGGGCTCAGGGCTTTAGACTTCTTTGAGCATGTTATGGCTTGTGTCTGGATGTCCCCCCAGAGACTCATGTGGTCATAGGTGGGGCTTTTCAGGGGTGGCTGGAAGTAGAGCATGTGACTGATTCATGGTACAATGCTAGGATTAAGGGTGGGTGATTACTAAATCAGTTCTGATTTACTGATTGGGTTGGCACTGCTGTAGTCCTAGCAGCCTAGATAAGAGTATAAGAGGGACAGAAAAAACCTAAGGTCCCTTACTTGCTTGCTTTTGCTGCCTTCTGCCTGCCATGAATTGTTCCTCCTCTGAGATGCCCCTCTGCTGTGCCACCCTTCCTTGGAACCAGCTATGGGCTGAAACCTCTATGAACTGTGAGCTAAATCAATCTTCCTTCCCTTAACTTGTGGGTGTTGCGTATTTGGTTTCAGCAACAAAAAGAGTAGCTACACAAAGCACTTCCAGTCATTCTTTTGCTGACCCTCTCGTTTTATTTGGGGCTACAAAGGAGAGGAAGTACGACCCTCTTCCCATGTAGTGATCAAAGAGCATAAAGCCTGGTCTCATGCTCCTGGGAGGACCTTTGAAACGAAAAGCAGCCCCTCTGCTGCAAACACACAGGCTTCCTTTCATTGGTGGGCAAATTTGACATTTCTAAGGGAGAGCTTTTTAAAAGTGCTTTCCTGGACATGCTATTTCTTAATCCTGCCGTCTCCCAAAAGGCTAGCTTGAGATTTATACTTTTTTATATTCCAATTGCTTTCAAAGACAAACAGATGAGAAGAGACGGGGGGTGGGGGGGGGATTAAAAAGCAACCCTGGGAGAAAAATCAAATGGTTGGGTACAAATATAATATAACAGAAGCCACCAGAGTGTCTAATAAATTACTCTAAATTTTAATTAATGAGTCACAAACACCACACCACAAGCTTTTAAAATCACCCCTTTATCAATAAGGTGATAAATTAACTTTCCCTGGAATTAGCAATTCTCGGAGCCCTGGGCAGTGTGCGGCCTTGGAAGTTCTCTGTAATGCTGCCAATTTTTAACAATTGATCTTCTGGCAGACCTAGTGCACTTTAATTCAAATATCTATTGTGACATTTTCTGATGTGATTCCGAGACCATTAAGATCACTCAAATCCTAACACTTTCGAGGTGGAAAGAGTAGTTCAGAATGTTTGGACTGCATGTGATTCCGTCGCTTTCTCTTTCCCGGTTTTTCCTCGTCTACATTTCCTCCTCCAAACCGCTGCATGGGCGCATGTGCGAGAGCACAGCCGGGTCCTCGTTTCTACTCCACATCTCCGCGGGGCCCTAAATCGTCCAGGCAAAGCTGTGTTCATTGCTGCACCCACTCCAAGGCCCAGCGCCTCGGCTGACAGCCCCAGGCATTCAGAGTACTCTCATCCTGGATGCCTTCGTTTTGGGTCCCATTCTGGCAAATGTTTGTTCCCTCGTGTTTCTGCAAACTCTCACTCAAGGTGTGTCAGGCTGAGACCGAAGGCAGGATCTGCGGCCGAAGGGTCGTGCTTTGGGATGTGCCCTGGCAGTTGGGCAGTTGGAAATTTAGCTGACTCTGACTTACACACAGTAATGTCTGAGGAGGCACAAGAGCGCTTGGCATTTCAGGGAGCACGTGCTACAGCCTCTCAGACACACACACACACACACACACACGCACACACACACGCACACACACACATGCGCAGCCACACCAGCTAGAAGACGGGTAATGGATGCAAATCACCCCAGAAGTCACAGGAGCCTTCAGATGCTAGCTTGTTGGGCTCCTGCTTCTCGGAGCCAAGACGCTGGGCTAGGATGGGACACTGGTGACCAGGCTTCTTGCTGGGTGCGCTGGGTAGTTCTGACAGAGACAAGCACATCCTTGCTGTTCGTAGGTAGAGACCAACATGTGGGCCTTGTGGAAAAAATCAGCCCCTGCAGTCAGTAGGGGCCCCGCTTCACCGCCATGGAGAGGCTACAGTACGTCTCGCTCCTTGGAATGGCTCCTGCTCCACTACTAGTTTAGAGCAGAGCAGAACTTTCACCCTGTGCCAGTCCTTGCTTTGTGTTAAGCTGAAAAGCCACTCCACAGGCCCCCTGAGGTTGTGGGGATATGTTCTCAGCCCCCAGTGCAGGCCTCCCTGGATGACAGCGGCTTGCAGCAGTTGCAATCAGTCACGTTCCACGGGGAATCAGGTAATGTGAGACCTTCTACACTCTCCTTCCCTCTCCCACAGACTTGGGTGAAATTTTTGTTCATGAAGGGACAGGTGTCTTTCTTCCTCCCTCCCTCCCTCTTTTCTTCCCTTCCTTCCATCTTTCCTCCCTCCTTCCCTTTCTCCCTCCCTCTCTCTTCCTTTCCTCCGTTCCTTCCTTTTCTTTCTGGCAGCCGTGTTTATTGATCAGATGAATGGAACCTTGATCCGCACTGCTGATTTCGGGAATGACCGCACACCCAGCAGCTGGGCCATGAGCCTTCTGAGGAAAGC